AATCATAGTGATTATTGGAGTTTGAGGAGGCTTGCAAGAAACCGGCAGGACGATGTAAGCCCTGCAAGAAGTCTTGCCTGGGAAGGGGCGACAGCACCAGCACCAGCTGCGAAGCGCTCGCGGAAAAGGCCACCACACTGTGCTCTTAATGCTCATCTTTATTATGAAAATGTTTCCAAAGTAAAATGATCCTCATAATAACGACTGCGTCCAGAGATCAAGAATGAATAATTATATTTTCATATAAAAATCAGCAAAACACAGTAACAGTACATAAAATAATTCTACTTGGCTAACAGCACACCATTCCATTGCTGACAGAGATGCTCAAGCATCGAACCCGTCTGAAGAAAAAGGTTTTGTCATCTGTCCAATTTCTCACTGCAAGAAGAAAAGAGTCAAATCCCCAAACTAACCACCTCCCCCTTGCATGACAACAAGTGCTAACTAAGGAGGTAACTGTGGGGGCCAATGGGAATCAGGAGCTGGTGGCATTGTGAAACTTTTGGAAATGGAACTTGGACGGTGTTTCCCATGTTTAAATTAATGAAGCTCTAAGTTAAAGTCCCAGAATCGCCACATACACTATACTTATTATAGAGCTAATTTCTCTTTGACAACTGATCTTTAAGAACCCCTAATTTTTAAAGGGCAGTTTCACAATGACAGTTTAAAAAATTACTATTGATCCAAAAAAAAAAAAAAAATCTCTATAAAATCCACTTTTTCCCCCCACTGAACATAGAAATCATACCAACAGCTATTGTTTCTGATTTCCAGGCCATGCAAAATATACCAAAATAGGAAGTTGCTCTTTCATGGACCTGTGTTAAGAAAGACAGGCTTATGTGGACACAACACTTTCTAAGAAAAATGGCATCAGGCAGAGAAGGAAGAGTGGGTACAGCTGATCCAAAGGCTACTGGGACACTGGGAGCAGACAAGTGACAGTATCCTGGCTTCCTTTACGAAGCTCCAGGCGGCTGAGGCATGTGACTGCATGAGACCAGCAGACCCCTCGCATCGTTTCCTGGGCAATGCTGAGAATGCCTAGCCTTGTGGGGACACCATACGATATGGTGCAGAGATTTAAACATTTCTGGCTGCAGAGATTTAAAAAAAAATGTCTTTGATCTAATGAGGTCTTCGCCTGTGGCCATTCTGTAATGTGTTCCTTTCAAAGGCTTCAGGTTAAACTCAAGCTGGAAATACCCTGAAAAGACCAAGGTTCTCCTTTGGATGCCTGCAGATGTTATTAACAGGTACTTATGATGTTTTATGTTCTTTGACACCATTTTCTCCGTGAAAGCACGTATCAGGTATGCTCCCTCAGAGCCTATGTTAGAGGAGTTCCAGAAGCATGGAGTGCAAGAGGACAGGCCTCCTCAGCATCTACTGAGAGCCCCCTAGGGGACAGCAGGGGACCTGTACACAAAGGCAAGCCATGGGCTCTCCTCTGGACTCTTACTATGAAGAACTAAAATGTGGCCACGGCGAACCAGTGTTAATTACTATTTGGTAATTTGAGAACGGCACAATTTCATTTAACCAACAGAAACTTACACTGACTCTAAGGACAATGACATCTTTATTAAAAACATATGTTGCTGCATTTTGCATGACTTTAAGAACTCTTAATGATTATTGAGAGTATTCTTCCATGGACAAAATGCTACACAGCAAATGCAATAACTAGAGATAACTGCATTTTCTCTTTCCTTACAAGTTATTTAGAGACTGAAAGTGCCTTATCATCATTTTATCATCAGGCTGACTTTAATCTGATTTTTTCTTATTTGAATGTTAGAAACATTTCAGGACTATTATTATTTATCAACAAAGCAGGAAATCAGCCAAAGACAAGGAAAAATCAAATAAGCTAACTGGAATCTTAAGACCTCAAAAAGCACATGAAATGTAAACATACAACCTTTTTTTTCCCAAAGGATTTCTTGAACCTCTCTGGAAATAACAGCATCATCACACATACTGATAAACAGAATCTTTTAACACCTTTGGAATTATTCTGAATACTTTTATACTTCAAATTAAGAAAAAATAGTCAACTATTCAGGCAACTTTGGCATTAACATTTCCAAGAAAGGGATAAAAATAACTATCAAAAAAAATCACGAACAAATTGGGAATAATTATAGGTGTCCATAACATTCTTTGTCAAGAACTCTTGCCAAGACTCAGATAAGCTGAAATAAAACCTCATTTTTACTTATACTTAAGATGAAATCATTCAATTTGCTCAAATTCAAACTCTATCTCATATATACTCAGAATGGAAAGTTTGGCAATAGAACTGAACATTCTGAGGTTCAATCACCATTTTGGCTACAGGTGCGCTAACCTTATTTCACTAAAGAGTTATTTATCTCACCCAGCTGCTTGCTTTATTTGGAAAAGCAACCTTTCTTCTTAGTTCGTCTTCATCAGGTACATTTCATTATCTGATGGTACCTCAGACCACCATTACCTAGCAGCCTACCTGGAGTTAGATGTTAATAAAATCCCGGGGTGAAGCAGCAATCATACATTTCTTCTAGCATACAGTTTAATAACCCAAAATACTGATAGTCATTCCCTTGTTCTCGACATTCATATCCTTCCATTTAGAAATGAGAACTGTATTTGGTTTATCTGCTGACCTTAGGCCCTCTATGATCTTGACTCTGCCGTATTTAGCTCTGAGGCTGAGAGATGGGAAGGATTCTGCAACTCCCGGCTGTGTGGGTAGCAGGAACAGCAAGTGGAGAGAGAGGCGGGACGTTTCGATTGTACACAGTGAATGGTTTTTACGAAAAGAATATAGATAAGAATGATTCAGTGATATTTTGGTTTTATCACATTTTTTGAAGAAACATACATATACATACATAGATCACACATTTATATCATTTATTGACCCAAGGCCAAAGTTCTACTCGATTTTCTACTTTGTTCCCCTACTACGAAATCTTGAAAGCTATAACATTAGAGAATAAAATACACTTTTTTCTAGATTCCTTCCTACATATCCTTTGTACCCTGGGGAAGTCTGGATGTGACCAGGAGGAAGAAGATATCAACACAGGCTGAGTTAATGAATGGGAAACAACACTCACTGCCCTACAATTGAATTTACATGATATACTTCCAAAACTATGGCCTGGCTCAGGTAGAAGATATTTTTTTTTCTTTCATCCTTATCAGGCCACCATGGAAGAGCAGTGGACAGAGATACATTATTCTTCACCTCAAGAGGCCTACAAACACCATTTTGATTCATCAAAAAGAACTCTGCCCTAAAATGTAAAGCAAAATAAAAATCTGTAGCCCCATTGAGGACTTTGTTAATTTAATGCCATCAGTCAGAGAGACTCCAAGTACTCCCAGTCCTCCTTCTAAGTGACTTTTGGGAAAAAAACAAAAGATTGTTTAGGTTTGTCTTTGCTAAGGACAGACTCAAGTTACTTCATTTTATGCAACTCTTCTTTAATAATTTATAGCTGATCTTTTGAAATTGTTCTTCTGTGCTAGAGAGTGTTGGATAATCCGAATTTGAACACACTGTTGTTCTCTGGTTTATCTCCCTCATAGAGAGGGCTTGCTCTACACACTAAAGCAGGGTTCAACCCACCCTTCGCTTCCGTATTCAGTTGGTAAAGACATAAATTTTCACCTTCTCAAAATTTGTCAGCTATACACTCTTGCTGCATCTTAGCAGATGTTCAAATGACTGACAAGTACCTTTGAGGACTGATGATTGGTCTTAAAAAGTCAAACCATCCCCCCATGACACTCCGAGACATAGCTGTTTTGTGACATGAAATAAGGTTTTACATAACGAAGTAGTTGCACTGGGTTTCACTCAGCAGGCAGACATATTTCCAAGCCTCTCTCGTTATTACTATGGACCAAACCAGAAACATACTATTTTGTAACTAGGTGGGGAGAGATTTACTATTACAGGGTGAGCTTTTTGGTTGGGAGCATTTTTTTAACTGCAGGTTGTACACTGTGAGCACACAGCTGTGACTTTCCCGCCGGTGGAACAGGGCGCAGGGCCCGAGCAGCCCGTGCACTGTCTGGTCTTCAGTGTCATCCTCTCTGCCTCGAGTCACACATAGATGTCACCGCATTGTGTGTCTCCACTCATTTCACGTGACAGTCTTTTTGATTTCCGAAGTATTTGGGATACCGTTTTATTCCCTCTTACTAAAAGTTGGGGGAAAGGAGATAATCTTTGGTTTGTGTGTATGGTTTTCTGATCTATACATAAACAACACTGCCATTGAGGGGACAAGGGACACTTATTTGTCAGGAGTCTTTCTCGTTGCCAGTATCATCATTGTCCAGTCGATTTTTTGTTTTCCTGGTAATAGCTTCATTTCAGTAAAGATTCCTGTCAAGTGAGCAGTCCTGAAAGAAGCAAGCCAAAGGACAGAGTGCAATGCTGCCGAAGGACAGGAAAGTCACTCTCAGTTATTTTAGGGAAAAAAGACAAAGGGAAGAGTCTTTTTTCCTCTGGCTTTATTTTACTCAGAAAAATAAAAACGCCAAATCAGATACTAGCTACGGCACTTTCTTTGAAAGCCGGTGCATTAAAGTGCTTTGCACTACAGGGGACTTTGGCCAACTCTTGAAACTCTCTATTTTCTGCTGCAAATTATACTCAGCTTCTTTTTTTTTCATGACGTGACACGAGCCTGTGCTCATCACAGGGGCCGGGGTAAAGGCTGGTGGCCATCAGCTGCTCTCTTTATGCTCCTCTCAGGTCGTGAAACACAGTCCAGACAGTAAGAGTGATTTCTTTGTCACTGTGACCTTCAGCAAATGTCTTCCTTCAGAGCCAGGGCACAGACCTCACAATGGAGAATGAAAAGATCTCTGTAACCTGCAAGGTGAATCCCCAACCAGCTCCCACACGCACTGAAGAAATCTTGGCTGTGTGCACAAGAAATGAAGTCTCTCCAAAAGCAATGAAATACAAAACAGTTTTTTAAAAGCCCTCCCATAACTGGACTCTTTCATTTGAACTCCTACATGACCGTGACGAGTGACAATGAAAATACCTAGCTCATCCAGTTTAAACTGCATGTGGGGAGAATGGTCACCGAGACGGGGCACTGACAAAAAGAAAGCAACCCTATCTGGAGCTGCACGAGAACCTTGCGCTGGATTTTGCTTGCTCTAAGGTAAAGGAAGCTGATGTTCCCAGCAACTGGGCTACAGCAATTCTAAGAAAGGGATAGAAGCAGATGGAGCACCTCCCTCACTGTGAACCCAGGGAGTAAAAGGAGTGAGAAAATCCTCTTTTGTCCACAGATTTACAAACAAATACAAAAAATAAATAATATCCTAAGACAATACAAATGCAAATACTGTTCCCTTGCGTCAATTACATACAGCATGCCTACATATAGAGAATGATAATTCTTCTTCATTCACAGACTGGACATATGGCAGTGCACTATTCAAAATGCTTTGATAATCCTAATTTTTGTTTCTGGTGCTGAGATATTATGAAAGGAACTGCATTTGCAACTTATTAAATACTTCCAGGAACAAACAGTTCACTTTGTCCTGGACATGTAGTTTTGAGTAATTAATCATCCGCGGAGCAGGGGCCGCTCAGGAGATACCCGTTGGTCCCATTGGTGGTGGCTGCAGGGTGGGGTTTCTTCCCCGGAGGTTCTGGGTCCTCGTCTGAGCTAGACTCAATGTCACTCCGATCATCCTTGGACACCTGGGGAATACAAGAAGGTGGGTGTAACCAGCTCCTAAGGAATCAGTCAGGTATGGCACGCTCAGAATCACATGCAGTCATCACACACAAAGGAAAACAGGTCCAAATGTTAAAAAATGGAAAAGCATAAAAACTTTGCTATTGTAGTAAGTTCCCCATTCCTGAAGATATACAATTTGGGTGACCAAGCCAGTTCTGAAGGAATGTAGGTAGATTTAGGTATCACAGCAGGCTAGATTTGCTGACCTCTTGAAGGTACCTTTCTGTGTTGAGAATGTACTAGACACGACATTCACTTCCTTCGGCGAAGTGGCCTACTGTACTACTGGAATGGCACTGTAGGAACTTGGTACAAATGAGTCCATTTACACTCTGATGATTACAGTATCTTTGGAAATCATTTAAAGTTAGCTCTTAAGTAACTACACTAATGGAGACATTCACTAACTCAGATCATCAAACATCATTCATATTGGCTTTATAATGCAATGTTTCATGATTTAATTTGGTTTTCTTTTCTGTCTGCTAGAATTAAGTAGAAGTTTTTTTTTTTTTATATGCTGCATAGTAACCAATGGCAGTAGGGAGCATTTTGAGAACCTGCTGGGTGAAGTTTGGCTTTAAATATTTCCCAAGGAATATCTACAGAGTGAATCCGCAGGGATTGGCTCCTGTCATTTCAGGATTCTCCAGCCCTTCAGCCTCAGTAAGTAATAAGGATGGTCATGTAAGACATCAGATATAAATCTACACATTACCATCAAAAAAAAAAAAAAAAAATCAGATTCTCTAGCACGGAAGTAACTTAGGGAGAAATTTAGGATATACCCTACTACTTTTAATATTAAAATAGTTTAAACCTCCTACTCTGTACATCTAAATTATAGTAAGTATTTTGCCCCAAAGGCCTTAAGACCTCTGAGTAACTGAACACCACTTACTCACTGTCTGAGTGGGGTGGCAGTAGGGACCTGGTGGCCCGGCTTCACAGAACTTTCCCAGGCTCGTCACCTGTGATTCTCTTGGAGAATCACAAAGTTGGCAAAGTCTCCTGGGTAGTATATCAGAACCAACTGGGGGATTTTTCACATCGCACCATCTCTGTGCTGCCGCTATTCCGCAACTTGAACCCAGTGCCCTTCCACATGTAGAAGCCACCGTTACTGAGAAAATGTCACCTCTGTTACATGGTGACATACAGAGATGACTGAGGGAATAGCATAACAATGGACCTCATTCCAATGCCCTCTGAGATGAGGCTAAACTCACAAGTACCATCCCTGAGGAGATTAAGGTGCTAAACCACGAAAACAGCGAGGTTCTGAGGATACTTTAACCTAACAAACACGGGTCACAAGATGGCACTTCAGTAGGGCTCAACTACATTTAGAAACCCACTGGTCACACGTGCAGCTGCTAACAGGAAAGCAAATTCCAGTTTCAGAGAGTGATTAATTTACATTTGCATGACTAGTAAGATTATTTTTAATTGTAGTTTGGGGGGAAAAATCTATGGCTATGGTACCTTCAAGGAAAGGAACAATCTAGAATATCTCAAAATAACCCACAAAAGTCTGAGTCCATAACCTATGGCCATGAATCTTATAGCCCTCGGTGAGCAGAAATGGCAATTAAAATATTATGAAGCCTGAGATCTGGAATAAAATTAATAATTGTCTCTTTGTAAAGTTGAAGAAATAAATCGGAGAGAAGACAATAGCTCTGCTGGAAACAGCAATGCAGTAAGGACATAAGTGATCTAACCCACAGTATCCTTGTATCTTCAGTTATTGTTATCCCACTGACAGTATTGTACATGTTGAATTAATTTGTATCCACATGACAACAGGAGCATTTTAAAAATAGAAATACATGCTCAGTTTAAAGAGTAAGAGGTCACAGAGGGAGGAAAAATAACTTCTGCTTCTAAACAATGTATTGATTAGACTATTTTGGATTTATATAATATGAGCTAACACTGAGACCTGGCTTTATAGAGCATGACCAGGTGTCCCGAGCCTGCTGTGGAAGAGTCAGCTCTGTCTTCCTCACTGAGGACAAGGTGGTCAGTGAAGTGCTGCCCGGTGGCCAGGGCAGACCAGCCAGAGGAGCTCATAACGCTCAATACTTGTTCTGGACCATGTTTCTCCTCTCCCCAACTTAGTTCTCTTTCTCCTACTTCACTTGTGGTCTATTTCTGGTTTTTTTTTTTTTTTTTAGCTAACAGGTTAAACACTGATGAAAAAAATATCCTCTCCTTGTCTGTAGGATCATGCAAAGTTTAGCAACACGCAAGCTCATACAGAAGGGCATCCACGGAGCTGCTCCCGGCATCCTTTGCAGCTGGTGGGAGCCATACCTCCGTTAGAGCCTCCAGCCAGTGCCCACAGATCAGACAGAACAATGTGCACGGACACAAAAGCATCTGAGCGCCCCTCCAACAGGCAGGCCAGCGTGGCACCCAGGACAAAGACAGGGAGTCGTGAGAACTTACATGTAAAGGGTTCCACCTCCCAGCCTTCCAGGGTGGCAGAAGGAAGAGAACAAACAACGAAAATAAGAAAATGTCAAAGAGAATGATCTAGAAAAGTCACTGCTCTACACAGAGGGGCTGAGGCTCAAGAAGCTTCATTCAAATCAGCCTTATGAGTCCATGTTTTTAACCAAAGGGATTCAACTGAATTTTATTAGGAAAGGCATACGTGAGTATTCTGCGTCAACCCTTCTCGTCAAGGAAAGACGTGATTCCGTTTCTGTTCAGTGAAAGTATAACCAGAGAGGGACCAAGGGAGACAGAGAGAGGGAGAGAAAGAACACAACAAATAATATATCACTAAATCTAAAGTCATAAATGCAGACCCGGGGATTCACCATCAGTACAGCAATGCTACCACTTGGAAAATGAACTAAGTAGAAGAAAATAATTATTCAGTTTGTGTTTCTAGGAGGTTATGCTAAATTTTGGGGGGGGGGGGGGAATCAGTTTTGATGAAATTTGAAATAAGAAATAATGTTCCTGTTAATTCAGAGCTACCAAGAAACATAATTATCTGGGACATATTAGCAATGGTGAATTTTATCTTACCTTGCCTTTTGAAATAGCTTTGCAAGCTATTTTTATGATCAAGTAAGACCAGAAGCAGTTCAAGCCTTGTATTAGCAACAGCAGTAGGTTGAAAACCCACCAGGAGGGATAAGGTCCAACGATCTCCCAACTTTCAAATAGTGTAGAATTTAACACCCTAAGGAAAAGGAGAAAGGCATCATTGAACACAACTTTTCACTTTGCCTTCGGAGAAACCCCAGGGCCTGCACAGAAGCAGAAAGTCAACAATATCCACTAACCACTCCCTCCCTGCAAGGCTGACCAGGTGTGCTGAAGAGTCACCACCTGAACGAGTCCCCTGTTGGCAAACATTTATTTTGATTCCAGTCTGAATAGTGTACGTATGCTCCCTCTTTACTTTTGTTATCATTTCTTCCATTACTTTTCATTAAGTTTTCAGCTGTGATTCTACCTCTGCTTGCCAAAAGGCTTTTGAAGTTGCTTTTGGTCTTCAGAAAAGTGAGAAATGCCACTCAAGAACACTACACTGCAAGGAAAAAGGGTAAATTAATTCCAAAAACTCTACTTACATTTAAACCATACGCCTAGTACAGTGGGAGCTAGAATATACTAAAGACCGATTTCCTGTCCTTGAGTGGTTTATAGTCTAGTAGGGCAGCCCTTAGAGTGTTCTTAATTTTATAAGCCTTCCCTTGGGAAAGAATTGACAATTGAAAGATATCATTTTGAAGTGATGCCTTGAGATGAGTATTGGAAGGATTTATTTTTATTTTTTTATTTTTATTGATTTTAGAGAGAGAAGAAGGGAGAGGGAGAGAGAGATAGAAACATCAATGAGAGAGAACATCGATTGGCCGCCTCCTACATGCTCCCCACTGGGGACTGGGCCCACAACCTGGGCATGTGCCCTGACCAGTAGTCAAACTGGTGACCTCTTGGTGCATGGGCTGATGCTCAACCACTGAACCACACTGGCCAGGCGAGTATTGAAGGATTTAAACAAAATTATTAGAATATATTAGAAAAATTATTAGAGTATGTTTTAAGAGTATGCTCTTGAGGTAGGCAAAAGTACTGGAAGTTACTGGTTCTCTCTGTAATGTACCACCAGGACCAGAATGCAGCAGCCCCCTGGCAGGAACATGAGAGCTGGTTTCAGAGTTTGGCTCTCGTTCCTGCTGTGTCTGCGCCTAAGACTTTAGAAGTTGACTCCTACATTCTGGATTCAGATTTCTGCCACAGAGAACAATACCCATGGCATTTTGGACTCCCTCCTATTCCCTTGCTTTCCACCCCAGCTTACTGTCGGGCTGGTTTGGCGATCTAAGAGTGTCGCAAACACTAGTCTGAGTGTACTTCCACCATCTGCCACTGCAGCGCTTCGCTGGGGTCTTACCGAAGAGGTCAGGTGGACCACGGGTGCTGGCTAACGGGGAGGGATGGAACAACTCTGAATTTAATACACAAATCACTCTTACAAGAACAGGAGGCAGATATACAGATGATTTTCATAAGAGTGTAATGAGTGCTTTGAGAGAGGTTAAGAAAAGTACTTTATGAATTCACAAAAGAACCCCCCCCCCATTGCAATTGGGATAAGATATAAGAAAAAAGAAGAATGAATGAGTAATAGACATAAATAGGTTCCCCATTACCAATTTCAGAAACCCACGTTTACAGACCAGCACAAGAAGAACAGAGCGTATCTAACCTGACACACTAGTTGTCTCTCAAGAACAAGAAATGTGGATATTAAAATCCTAAAGTCAACAGTATGGAATTGAATTTGACAATTCATTGAAAGTTTATTACTCTATTCTATAGTAGTATTCATTCTGGTGGAGGGGGACCAATATTAGGAAATCTATTAATATAATTTGTCATATATCCACAGACCAAATTGGTACAAACCTACTTATTTCAATAGCAGTGGAAGACATTTGGTAATGTTCAATTCTACATTGCTGGTATTTAAAATCTAGAACTCAAAGGACTTATTTAATATGACTTTTAAGCAACTCAAATCAGCAGTAGTCATCATATTTAAGAAACTTCCATTTTTTGCCTCTATAATCAGGAACAAACCACAAACTGCCAACATCACTACTGTTATTGAACACTATTCAGAAAGTTCTGGCCCGTGAGCATGGTAGGAAGTCAAGGACTTCAAATATGTAGATGTTAAATCTTTGTAACTATTTTAAAAACAGCAAACAATCAAAATTTCTAATATCAGGAAATGGTAAAATAAATTAGTTTTCATTCTTAATAAAGAAATTATAAAGTCATCTTAAGTATTAAAGATGTTTCAAGAGTTTCTTATGATAGAGAAAAATACATATAATCTCGACTCCATGAAATACATATGTGCATGTATACATGCAAAAAGGGGAATACTACTTCCTTGAAACGAATTAATCAAAGCCATTACAGACTTTCTCTGATGGATTAGATTGTATATATTTTCCTCTTTACATTCTTCTATTTTCCAAATCCATGCCAAATAATTAGAAAAAAAATACAAGTTATTTGTAAAAGGGAATAAATTCATGCCCATGTTCTTGCCTTGTTTATTATAACAATAATTTTGCTTCAGAACTACCTCCACTTCTTGACATACTATTTATTTTGACATCAGAGAGAAATCAGTTTAATTTGAACAGAAAAACATCCTGTAGAAATAGCAACAATGTCTGCATTCTGCTCTTCATTACAGGTCAGCCTTTGTGGGAGTGTAGTTTGAGGACCTTCCTCACCACTACGATTTGCTTGGCTTAATTTGAACAGGGCGTCCTGCAGTCGCTGGGGACGTGGCATTCACATTAATTTCTGCAATGCTGCATCAGAATTCAGAGGCTTTGCCATGCCAGTCTTGGTGCCTCTGAGATGCAGCTCGAAAGTAATGGGATTTCTTTGAAAACCGAGCTGGCTGCCTGCAGAGACACTTGGAAAATACAATCAGTGCACCAAATGGATACATCTGCTAGTGAGAGGCTCAGTATGAAAAACAATGTCCCCCTGCCCAGTTTGGCTCAGTGGTCCAGAGAGACCCGGGTTTGGTTCCCGCTAAGGGCACGTACCTCGGTTGCAGTTTGTCCCCGGCCCTGGTTGGTCGTGTGGGTGGCAGCCACTCGATGTGTCCCTTTCACGTTGATGTTTCTCTCTCTCTCTCTCTCTCTCTCTCTCTCTCTCTTTCTCTCTTCCTCTCTCTCCCTCCCACTCTACCTGAACAAAAAATGGAAAAATGTCCTCGGGTGAGGGAAAAAAATAGAAAAAAAAACCAATGTCTTAGGAATTTAGACTGGGGAAAGAGAGACTGGACTCTGAAACAGGACCCAGGAAACAGGGCCTTTTTTAAAGTCACTGAATATTATGAATATAACTGTCCGTTTTGGGGGGGCAAACTATTAAAATGGTGATTATAGAATTTCACCCTTTCTCAGAGGTTAGGGTTAGGAGTATGTACCTCAATGATGCCATTGCAAATCTCTGGTAACAGAGTTCCAAACGGTGACTGTTCTGAGGGGGCATTTCTGGGAGGGGCCGCGAGGGAGGCTCCTGGACTGCTGGAAACATCCTATAGCTTGATCCACATGGTGATTATATGGAGTATACAGATGTAAACTTTACAAAGGTAAAAACGTGGCAAACTGTACACGGAAGATTTGTGTACTACACTATGTGTGAGTTATGTCTCAATAAACTAAAATGGAAGAGTCTTCTGTGGGCCCAACACTGCCAGTTTGCAAATTCTGGTTTGCATAATTACTATATCAATGTCCCTCCCCCCAATACTCTGTGCTCAACATGTGGCTTCTAAGAAAATAGACACTGCCCCCTCCCGTAATAGTCAGCCTACAGCATCAAACCTCCTACAGCTGCTCAAATAAAGCGGTGGAGAGCTCCGGGGTAGGACGCCAGAAAGGACCACCTTCCTCTTCCGCAATGCTGGGCTCACCTAGCCACTAGATGGCACATCACGCAGGGACGAGGCTCGCTCCACTGGGTCTGTTCTGCCAGAACCGTCTGCCCAAGTGTGAGTCCCAGCACAGAAGCCACTGGATCTTCTGCTTCCAACCTCCCTTCTAAGAATCCTGTCTAACAAGGGAAGGAAAGGCTCCAGCCTGCACTGCCTTCTTTCTGCAAGATTCTCAAAAGAAACGGATGCCTACAGGGCCAACTGAGCTCCTTGCAATTCACTGGTGACCTGCCGATGCACTGGCCAGCACCCCCCAAGGGCGGAGTCTTGATGGGCTATTTTAGTGGATGTTTAATGAATCATAAGAATTTAATCTGACTATGCCCTATAGTTATTTTCTCTCATGCTTACCTTTTATGGATGCTTTGTCTTAAATTTGATTATCACATTATACAGGCTACATAAGGCGGGGGGAGGGAGGGAGGGAGGAAACATACATTCATGCAGAAGAGACAAAGTTTACAACCTTTTTTTCTTTAAGCAAGGAAAACACCACAGTCTCCTTTGAATAGGCTATATAAGGCCTTCCTCATTCACATTCTAAACATCAATGTGACATTGCTTTCCCCTTTAGCCTCGGGATTCGGGAAGTCTCATAGTCTCACACAGCACAGTGTAAAAGGATCGTCAAAGGCATCTCATTCAGAAAAGCTACAACCAGTGCTCCATGTTTTCACCCTTATCATGACAGTCATCTCAAAGTTTAAGTTGGTTAACTTTCCTTTGTAAAGACAGGAGGACAGTCTCACTTTCAGTAGATGTGCGCATGACCACAGCCCACGGCACACCCAGACTTTGCCTGCGCCCCTTCTCCCCTCTTCTCCCACCAAAGACCTGCCTCTGAGTCTTGGATGTGTATTTCTGGAATGATCTATATAAAAAACACAGCAATAAAGAGATTCATATCAAATATCCAAAGAGAGCCAAGAGTCAGATGTCACTTTGAGGAGCACTGCCTAACGCCAGGGAGGGTACCTTAAAAAGACAACTTTGCTGTGTGGTCAAAATGAGGGTGTCCTTTTCTTCAGAGCTTTTGAATGGCCTTGACCTTGCTTTTCCAGACAAACCTCAATATATTTTGTGATGTGTGTCTCTCTGGCACATTCTTTTCACTTGCTCTACACAAAACGCAAATGAAAAGTCAAGTCTACCTAAAGATGATCAATAATCTCCCAGCATGTTTTGTTCATTTAAAA